GGGGGGCTGGGTTGGGCTGGAAGTGCCCACGTGGGTCCACTAGGATAACCCATGACTTTCTCAGGGCCTCTTAGGAAGTAGTAGGCAGGGCCTCACCTGGGTGGATGTCCTGGAACAGGGACTTCCAGATGGTGTACTGCAGAGGGCCTGTGTACTTGGAGGTCGGGAAGTCTTCATACGTCAGGTTGGTCTCATGGATTTTCCCCTTGAGCCTGGAAGGACAGCAGGAGAGAAGGCTGTACCGAGGACTGGATTCCTGCCCTAGTTCTAGGCCCTGCAGTGAGAAGCTGCAGCACTTAGCTGTAAGGATCTGCTTATGCTGTTTCCAACCTCTTTAGGCAGTTTTCTAGTCTTTAAAAAGAGTATCATGTTAGCACCTGTCTTCTAGGGTTGTTATAAAGATCCCATGGCATAGCATACCAAATACTTAGCTTGGCTTAGGGCCAATACCAAATGCATGATGTTAGTGACCAGTGTTATTATTAAGGGTGGCTTTGGGGCAGAGCAGCTTGAGTTTGAATTCTGGCTCTACCTCACTGAGGGGTCTAAGCCAGTTGATTTAGCTTCGCTGAACTTTAGTTTGTATATGTGTGAAACAGGGAAACTTACAAGGGGGCTGACAGAATTATCATAATACAGAGCCTATATAGAATAACAGAATCAGGGCTGGGGAGATGGCTCAGTGGAATAAGTGCTTCCCTGGCAAGTGCAAGGGTCTGAGTTCAATTCCCAGTTATTGAAAAAAAAAAAATAACAGAATCAGTGTTAGTATAAATAACATATGATGATGTATCACAGATATATAACGTAAATAACATAAGTAGTAAACTATATATATTACTAAATACTACTTGTTCATTATAATGGGGAATGTATTATATGTAGATCAATATGACCACAAAAGGCATCAGCCCAAGCTGTGGCACACAGCAGATGCCCCACGAAGGGCTGATAAAGATGTGAATAGACGGATTATTGCTGACAGCCCCATCTGCCTCCACCCCACTAGCTTGCACAGGTTGGGAGGAGCTGGTCACTTTGGGAAGGCCCCCAGCAGGTGGCACTTACCGCTCAGACAGGGAGGCCACCCCAGCTAGGAAGGTGTGCCGGTCGGTCTCAGCCAGCCGCTCCTGCAGAATTTGGGCACCCTCCTGGACCTTGCGCAGCTGCTGGCTGTAGCGCTGGACCTTCTGCTCGATGTCAGTCAGTGTGCGTGCCGTGTCTGCCTCCAGTTCCTCTAGCATAGCTTTCTGCCGCTCCCGTAGCAGCCGGTGCAGCCGCTCAAAGACCTCACCAATGGTAGTCCGCAGGCTCTTGGTGGAAGACTGTGAGGGGCAGTGGTCAGGGGTTATGGCAGGAGAGCACTGGGGTGATTCCACAGGGAAAGGAGAAGACCCTGAGGCTTGGCACACAGTGGGAAAGGGTCAGAGGGCAGGCCTGGTGGGGATGGCACATACACAGGCTTGGTAAGTGAAAGGACTGGCATGGTCAGGACAGCACAGAGTTCTGTGTGATTCACTGGGGTTGTGGAGATTAGCATTGAGGATGCTACCCAGATTCCAGGCATGGGGGTGGGAGAGGTGGGACAGGGGGAAATGGTACAGTCAGTCTGGGATACACGGAACTCTTGTCTGGTTTTTGGTGGAACCAGGGATTGAACTCAGACCCTTGTGCTTGCCAGGGAAGCACTTATTCTACTGAGTCATCTCCCCAGCCCCTGGAACTCTTGTCTTTAACACTCCTCTATGGTGTTTTGGGGGAGATTGTTGGGGACCAGAATCTGTAACAAAGGGGCACTCAGGGGTCCGAGGAGTGTGTGTGTGTATGTGTGTGTGTGTGTGTGTGTGTGTTTTGCCCTGTGAACCTAGAGACATGCAGAAGCTCCGCTTGCCCCAGTCGCAATGAGAAGACACTCAGAACCCTGATGCACACAAGGCAAGAGAAAGACCTGCTGAGGATGACAAGATCTTTGAAGCAATGTAGTAGAAATAGGAAAAGTTGTGCTTGGGGGAAAAAGTTGCCTTATTAATCCTTGTCTCCTCCTTGTAAGAATGCTTTATTCTTTTTACTAACCCACAGCAATTACCATCTTGTTCCAGGAAAACTACACTATCCCCTCTGAAATTGTGTGTGTACACTCAGTACATAGGGGGAGGCCTGAAGGGTCTTTTGTCTTTGCCCATCCCGAGGCACTGACCTCCCAGCCCCCTTTTACATATTAAACAGTCTCTGTCTCTTATTTCATCCTTTTCATAACCCTCATACATGACATTGGGGATCTTGTACAGGTCTCTGGCAGGAGAGGACAGGGAGATCACAGAGGTCAGAGAGCTTCATAAAAGGCAATGGTACACTGGTGGTTGCTTGTCTTTCCTGCCACCCCTAAGGCTCCACAGCTAAGGAACAAGAACTAAGGTATAAGGCCTTTGGCACAAGAAGTAAGCATAGACTTGCATGGTTCTCTGTGCCCAATAGGCACTGCAAGGTCCAGGAGGGCTTGAAGGAGGGCAAGGCACAGGCTTTGATACCTGGCATCCTTGCGAAGAGTCTCAACTCTGATCTCTCTTTAGGGGTAATATCAGTGGCCTAAGCTCTGGGAATTTCAATTTCCCTATCTGTAAAAGATATAATATAACAACATGGCAGGAGGGGTGGTGAAGTCAAAGCAAGGAATGTTTGCCCACACGGTGACCAGGTCTCAGGTGTGAGGAGAAAGAGAGTGGTTAAAGCAAAGGGATCAATACTAACGGGTGCATCCTGGGAGTCCTCATGGAGGAAAAGGCTTCTGAGTTGGGCCTGAGGATGGGCTTGGCATCAGCCGGGGTGGGGGAATAGGCAGAGGGAGTAGCCTAAGGAAAGGCAGAGAGTCAGGTGACATAGGAGACAGAGGATGCTGCAGCATGTGGGGCCTGCCTCTGCAATTTCACTCTGCGAGATTCAGGCTGGCAGTTCATGGAGTCAGAGACCCCACTGTGCTCAGTGCCCGGGCCTCTGTGGGAAGCTTCACAAAGGCTCAATTAGGGCTGCTTCCCTCCCACTCAGCTGCCCGCCTTCAGGAAGAAGGCTGGCAGAGAGCCAACCTCCCTGCGCATGCCCGCCCAGTGTGCTGGGCAGACAAAGGGGGGGGGTGTGTGTGTGGAGGAGAGGCTGGGATGGATGGCCAAGCTGCAAGGGCCTCTCTGAGCTCCTCACCCAGGGGAGCCCTATGGAAGCCTGCTGTGAATGGAAGGGTGGGGTCTGCCTTGTCCCCCCCCTAGAGCTGCCCCCAAGGCCCCCAATTCCACATACGGCTCCTACAGTAGCTTGGACTATGAGCCCCCACTGCTGACTGAAAGGCCATGTCAGCCTCTCATCTTTGGTTGCTCTTCCTCTGCCGCTTGAGTTCCTTGGGTCACCGCAGGCCGGCTCCCTCCTATCTCATCCTGTATGTCCCCCCACCTATGCCTATTGTTCTGAGGCCAGCTCCCAAGTCCATAAGATGGGTTTGCATGGCTCCTGAGTACCACATTTCTTTTTCCAACTGGGGTCCCACAGGACCCTCCAACTCATTTGGTCCACAAGGTAACTCCTGTCTTTGTTAGCAAATTCACTGCCTCAGTGATCCTTCCAAAGTGCAAACTGCGTCACAGATCATCCTGTGTTTAAGAACCTTTCTTCACTCTTTTATGACAGCAAAATGCCAAATTCCTTAGCCTGCGAGTCAAATCCCTGCAGAAGTTGATCCTAACTTATCAGTACATTGCAATTTTATCAATTCCTGAGACCAATTCCTGTGTACCCTTTATGCAGGTGGCAAACTCCTACTTAGCCTGCAAGACCTAGCTTGAGAGCTACTTCCCCTGAGATACCTTCTTTAACGTTTCAGGTAGTTAGATGTTCCCAGAGCCTTTTGCTACTGGTAGTAACTTGGACTCAGCACAGGCTCTGGGATTGCAATTTTATCCTGGGACTCCTGAGCATGTCTCCGATGGACTCTCTACCCAGCTTGCTGGACACAAAGCCATTCATCCTGCAGGGGACCCTGGTGTGAGGTTGAAAAATGCCTTGGGCTCTGGCAAAACTAGACAGGATGCTCCCAATTTCCACTTACTAGCTGTGAGGCCTCAGGCTGGTGCCCCGAACTCTCTGTGTTTCAGATTCCTTGCTGATAAAATTGGGGTAGCAACAGTTCCTGCTCCCAAGGGTATTTTATTTTCTTTTTCATTCCTTTGCCCTCCAACTGCTTATTGTGTGTCCCAGTGCTAGGTCTTGCAAGACTTGCTGTCATGGAGGTGACATTCTGTGGCTTCAGTGAAACAAATGAAGGGGTAACACACTTCACAGCACAGGGAAAAGATCAGCTCAAAAGGAACACCTCAGTTTCTTTAGTGCCTTTCCCTCCACTCTCCTTCTGGTGCCTTGGCTGGAAAAGCAGCCTGCGACCCAGCCCATCACATCCCCTGGAACACACAGGGCCTAGGGAAGCTGTGCCCTGCCAAGAATGTGTCACCCCCAGGGCTAACCAAGGAAAACACAGGGTTTGAGGAGGGCGATCAGACAGACCCCCAACTCGGCCACTGGGGGGACAGGCGCCACAAGAAAGCAAGTCAGGCACCAGGTGAAATATGACCTCAAAGGCTCCATAGGCATCTCTTGTATAAATACCCTAGTCCAGACAGGAAGCAGGCCAGGGGCCTGGGGGGAGCCCCACAGGACCCCCCAGAGGCAGGCAGATGGACAGGAAATCGGGGGAAGAGGTCAGCGGAGAAAAACAATGGTGAAGGGAGATGAAAAAAGAATGCTGCCAGAGGAGGGAGAGAGAGACCCGCAGATTCCCGCTCATCAGAGAGAAGCTTCTTTTTGCTTCTTTGCACGCAGAGGCACAGAGGCACCAGACAGATGGAGAAACTGAGGCTGTGCTGTCTAATGAGACCACAGTGCTGTGACTGTGTCCACTGAGGGTCCTGCCCCGAGACATTCTGGAATGTTCTCTGCAGAAAGTGTCATGCCCTGTCTGGGACTTCACAGCAGATTGAGGGCCCTGTTGGGGCATGGATCTGTGTTTCTAATGGCCTCTGAAGGCCCTGGGTGACCTCTGGAGGCCCCGTGTTCCCAAGGCTGCCTCCAGCTGCACTCACAGCTCTCCTGCTATGGGAGCAGAGCCAGCCTGAAAGACCCTAGATGTCACCGCGCTGGGTTTCTGGGAAGAAGCCGCTGAGGGAGGGCTGAAGGGCATTCTATAGGCTTCTTCCAGCTCTGAAGCTCTAAATTAAGCCCTGCTGAGGTCCTGCTGCACAGATGCAAATACTGGGACCCAAAGAGTACACAGTCAGTGGCTGGATCAGAACCCACGTCCTTCTTCTCAAGCCAAGGAACCCCAGTGCAAACCACTGAAGCCAGAGACTGCAGGGCATTGCAGTTTTTCTGATTAATATCTCTCTGGCCTCAGCCCATGAGAAAAGATGTCAGCAGGGCTGGCTTGGAGGGGACACGCTCCTGTTGGTTCCTTACGGGTATGTTCAATAAAGGCTAAGTTTTCCCACAGGACACCGGAGGTTTTGGGGATCCCTCGTCTCACATCAACCTCCACCAAAGGTAGCAAGGACGAAGTGGCCTTATCCCAAATCCAGACTTCTGCCCTCAGTCATCCCAGAGTCAACCGGCCCACTTATTTTGACAGATGCCTCATCATTGACCATACCTCCCCTCTCTTGCCTCACTGGGCCACTAGAAGCCAGGACTCTTTCAGACCGAGATCCCACTCATCTCTGCCGGCCCCTCCCCCAAGCCAGGCCAGACTCACCTTAGTCTCCGCCAGCTGTCGCTTGAGCAGCTGCAGTGCCTCGGTGTGTTCACGTTCGCTGTCCTGAAGGGCCTGGAGCTGCTCCTTCAGTTCCCTCTGGAACACATACAGGGGCGAGGCTTGGGGACATCAGCTTTCTGTAGCAACGGAGAGCCCAACCCTGCGCCCCTTGGTTCTTATTCCGATCTGGCCCCTGCTTGGTCAGCCCCAAGGTGCTTCTCCAGTTACAGTTCAACCGCCAAGCCCTGTAGAGACTGTCTCCTAAATATCCGAGAATCCGTCCCCATCTTTCCTCTAGATGTCTACGAAAGCCTCTTCTCTGGTTGTTTTGGGAGCTTCTGGTCTCCCTAACTTGGGGTAACCTCCACCTCCACACTATCCCGGCCTGCCCCTGCTGAGCTCAGACCTTTGACAGAAACCAAGGCTGAACCAGAGTCCACTAGCTACAGACTAACCGCCCATGGTCCAAGGCCTCGTCCAGGCTCAGCTCTGTGCTCAACCCTTTGCTTCTGCTAATTCACTGGAGCTTCTCAGCATGATGATTCTCCATTTTCAGATGAAGCAGGAGGCACAGAGAGAGGCTGGGAGTGGTGGTATACCCCTATAATCCCAGCACTCTGGAGGCTGAGGGCAGGAGGCACAGAGAGAGGCCAGGAGTGGCAGTGTACCCCTATAATCCCATTAGTCTGGAGGCTGAGGCCTTGGCTACAAGGTGAGTTAAAGGCCAGCCTGAACTGCGGTGAAACCCTGTCTCAAAAAAGACCAAAAAAAAAAAAAAAAAGGTATACAGAGGTTAAAAATGCACAGAAAGACAGACAGATAGACAGACAGACAGACAGACAAACTGGTTTCAAGCCACAGAGCCAAGCATGTCAGTTTGTAGCCAGAAGGGGAACACAGACATCTGGTTCTGGAAACTACGATATTCCCCACCCCCACCGTGAGTGCTGGGATTACAGGCACGCGCTACCCCACCCAGCCCGGAAACCACGCTTTTGAAGCCAGGTAACATGTTTTCTTACAACAGAGACACCTACAATGATCAACAACAAATCCGCCACTGATGAGACATTGCCATTTGAAATAAAAACAGGGTCTGCATTACTGATTTCTTTGTCTCGGGATCCGGTATAGCTTCACGGGGCACTGCTAGTCATATTAGCCTTAATTAAAAATTCCTTACAGATTTTTTTGTAGTATTTTTGATTGAGAAAAGATTGTATTAAGTATTTACATAGACTGTGCTTTGGCACCTGTTCCAACCCTGTGCCTAGCCCCTCCCTTCCTTCTTGGTCCCGCTTCTGTCTCCACCTTCTCTTTTCACTCCTGCCCAGCCACGGTGGGCTTCTTCCTGTGCCACCGTCACCCTGACCTTGCTCAACCTTGGGGCTTTGCACCTGCTGGTTTCTCTGGCTGGTGCCTTTCTGTCAGGTCATCTCATGGTGACTGCCTCGTATCATTCACTGAACTCGGATGCCACCCTTCAGAGTCCTGTCTGACCAGCCCACGGTCACCTCTGACACATTCCTAGTGTCACGGTCTTCGCGGTCCCTCCCCGTGAGGTGACCTTCCACGTGCACGTGCCTGTGTGCTCACTGCTTATCCCACTCACTGGACCGTGAGCTTCACCCAGGCAAGAAGCTCATCTGGCTTGCTCCCTGCTGCTTCCCTAGTGCCCCAAATGGTGCACAGCATATGGTTGGGCCTCCATTATTAGCTGTCAAATAAATGAATGGGATGTGGTGTGCATTCCCCAGTACAGGGTCCAGCTGTCTGTACTCGCTGAGCTGTAGCCACTGGATCCTAGTCAGTTGTCCTCCTGTCTGTCCCTCCTTCCTCTTTCCCATGTTAGCACATGAGTCCTCCAGGGAGGGTGTCTACTCCCTCGCTCTAGGTCCTTACCCAGAAGCCACCTCGCCCTGAGCTGGGGCTCCAGGAAGTCTACCAGGTGACTGAATTGCCATGGAAACAGCTCCTGAGCAGGGGTTGAGGTCTTTAGTCAGCTTGGGCTGAGTGGTCCCAGGGAAGCTGAGTTACCAGCTTTTTTTTTCCCCTCCTCCTCATTTGTCTTAGTAGACCAGGAAGTATCCTCAGCAAACATCTGGTTCAACTAATTTTACAGACTGGCCACATGGGCAAATGGTCATGATGACAAGCCAGGGGAAGAATGCAGAAAACAAAATTATCTTTGCTTACTATTGCTTATTCATTGAATAACTATTTATTGACCAACTACTATGTCCCAGGCAGAGCGGAAGCGCTGAGGCTTTAGCAGAGAACAACACAGATATGGTCCCTGCCCACAGGGATCTTCCCTCAGGTTAATGTAGATGAAAGGCAATAAATATGAAAAAATCAAGAGTGTGAGGTGATTGCCAATATGCTCTGTGTTGTAGAAAAAAAATCACGCAGTGTAGGATGAGGGGACAACTTTAGATAGGGTAGTCAGGAAGGTTTCTTGGAGAAGGTAACACCAAAGAGGACAGCTGGGGGATGAGGGGGAGCCGGCCATGAAATCAGGGGTAAGACAGAAAAACGGGAGCTGCGTGTCTTGTGACTGAAGAGAGCTCACGCAGACATAATGGCTGGAACTCCAGCAGCTATGTCAGGTCATGAGGCAACTATAAAGATGGAAAGTTATAAACTCAAACTAGAAGCAGAAGGAAGAAGGAATCAGGTTCCCGAGATCTGTGGGGCAGCTATACTATCACCAGACACAGTGACAGGTAGGAAACTGGTTCTCTGGGGGGAAAGAAAAGAGACAAGAGAGAAAGAGGGAGGGAGATGGAGAGGGAGAGGGGGAAAGTGAGAGAGAGAGAGAGAGAGAGAGAGAGAGAGAGAGAGAGAGAGAGAGAGAGAGA